CATGTTATTTTTTTTAACCCTCAGCTTACAGATTTTTAAATAGCTGTATCCCAGCCATATATATCCAAAGCAATTTCATGCCAACTCTCATGGAAAATTCAGAATGTATAATCTCATTCTTACATTTCAGTAGAATTTACTCATCCTTAAGTGAAGGTTATGGGGAACGCATCCTGTTATCCTTTTCATATCATTTGAATTTGTACAAAATAGCCACTTTCCTGAAAATACATAAAAGAGTTACATTTCCTCATGAGGAATCAGGCTGATATATCCCAACAAACTATACATCAATGGAAAGCTTATTTATCAGTTTTTAGATCATACATAAACCTCAATTTTCAAAAATTGACACTTAGTGGTCAAGGGTAACATTTATTGGTATGGCTTTCTTTTCTAAACAAATACAGCAACTACAAGCTAAAATAGATAAAGGGGTACCCACACTTTTTTTTGAAGGGCCAATAACAATGTCATGGGTAATTAACCTAATTTATTTCAAAATATTTACATATAAATAAAAAAAACATTACTTTAATATTATTATTAACTAATGTATTATGGTTATAATTATCATTACATTTTATACTAAACGTAGCCTTTTCCATGAAAGCATTAACAATTCCATTTATAACAGAATGGAGTTTAATGCCAAAAACACTGAATCTGCTCGAGCCCTCTGCGTTGATTTCCTAATCAATGTCTGAATCTGTCGAGCGACAATATATTCATTTGTTTGATAAAACAAATAAACAAAAGCTTACGTTAAATTAGAAATGACAATCTCTTTTAAAGGCATTCCATCCAAAGTCCATTCTGCATCGGCCAATCATTCTCTCTCTTCAAAGATGGAAAGGTGGGCCAAATCAAAGGTTACCATGGGCCCTAGTTTGGGCGTCTCTGAAATAGATGAATATTATGGACACTTGCTTTTATCTTTTAAGAAATATTCTTAAAAAAATAAAGTCAAAACTGTTACAAAGATTCATATTAGGTCACACTTTATGTTGATTGTTGAATTTAAGTTACATTGCAACTATTTCTTATTAGATTATAAGTAGACTTTTAGGGTTGGGGTTAAGGTTAGAGTTAGTGTAAGTTGACATGTGCTAGCAAAGTTTCTTATAGTCAGTTAAATGTCTGTTGAAGGAGAAATCAGTCTTCTAATACTCAAATGAACCATTAAAATCAAGTGTTACCTAATATTGTAAATAAACAGACAGAACAAATGATTTTTAACCCAGTACTTCTCATTGAGTAAAATGTTGGACCCTCACACGAACTTAAACTTAAAATAAGCTCCAATGCTCAGCATGCAGCTGCTTATGGAAATGAGTCCAAACGAAGCCCAAATACATCTCTGCTTTCCCTTTAATTGCCTCTCCTAAATCATGTTTTGCTATAACAGTGGCATTGATGTGAATTGTACAGTCTGTCTCGCCCTCCAGTAATCAAGCTTCTTTGAGACAGGAAACAGTCAATGGAAATGGCCAGTCTCCTAAATGAGCCTCTTCACAAAATCGTCTGAATGGCTTCAAAAAGAGCCCGGACAGAAAGCTCCGTTGTCTGTCTCACACAGGGTGATTGCCTGGATGTTTCTAATGGTGTTAGGGGGTGATTTTACGCACAGCAGGCCTCTAGGCTTCGCTCGCCTCCATGCGGCCCAAGAGGCTTATGTGACTAGCGGTGACTAGCGGTGACTAGCGCGAGGTGTGGGTGCTCATCCTGATAACGTGTGTGTGTGTGTGTGTGTGTGTGTGTTTGAGCACAGCAGATGCCCCAGGTCTACATTAGACCTCATTTGCATGTTCAAATAAGTCAAAATCCACAATAGAATAAATAGCAGCAAAAGGGCACAGCTTTAGATGAATGACAATGAGATCAGGTTGCGGAAGATTAGATATTACTTTGGAATGTCACCCTGATCCGTGAGGCTCGTCTCTATGGATACCGGTCGTCTAGATACAATGCAGATGTATGTATAAGCATGACAGTGAAGTTACAACAGCCATGACATGGGCTGCACTCTGCCATTGTCTTTGTTCTCTTTGATTAGTCTGTGTAACTTAATTCTGCTGTTTGTGATAACAACATATTTGTATTTCATGTCTGTATTCGTAGTTGACTTTTCTCAACATGTCTACATAAAAAAAGAAAATTGGAAGATGAATGGAAGATGATGATGATGAATTATAGATTATTCGCTCGTCCGGAATTTTTCTTTTTCAAATATTTCCTGAATGATTTTTTAAACAGAACAAGCATTTTTTTCCACAGTATTCCCTATAATATTTTTTCTTCTGGAGAAAGTTTTATTTGTTTTATTTCGGCTAGAATAAAAGCAGTTTAAGGTCACCATTTTAGGGTAAATATTCTTAGCCCTCTTAAGCAGTTTTTTACGATTGTCTACAAAGCAAACAACTGTTGTCCAACGACTTGTCTAATTACCCTAAGCTGGCTGTTTAACCAAATTAACCTATAGTTAAGCCTTTAAATTGCACTTTATTAGAAATTAGATATTAAAATTCTTATGTTTAAAAATGTGTTGAAAATATATACAGTGCATATACACAGTGCATCTGAAAAATGTTCATAGCGCTTCACTTTTTCCAATTTTTTTAATATTGCAGCCTTATTCCAAAATGGATTAAATTAAGTTATTTCCTCAAAATTCTACAAACAATACCCCATAATGACAATGTGAATTTTTTGTAAATTTATTAAAAAGCCTTTGCCTATTTCTCTTTGCAGTACCTCTTAAGCCCTATCAGGTTGGATGGGAAGCGACAGTGTACAGCCATTATCGGATCTCTCCAGAGATGTTCAATAGGATTTAGGTCTGGGCTCTGGCTGGGTCACTCAAGGACATTCACCAAGTTGTTGTGAATGCACTCCATTGATATTTTGTCAGTGTGCTTTGGGTCTTTTCCTGCTTGAAGATTAACCGTCGCCCCAGTCTGAGGTCAAGAACACTCTGAAGCAGGTTTTCATTCAGGATGTCTCTATACATTGCTGCATTAATCTTTCCCTTTATCCTAACTAGTCTTCCAGTTCCTGCTGCTGAAAAACATCCCCACAGCATGATGCTGCTACCACCATGCTTCACGGTAGGAATGTGGAAAAAGTGAAGTACTATGAATACTTTCCGGATGCACTGTATGCACACATTCTGGCCACTTTATTAAGTACACTAGTACCAGGTTGGACCCCGTTTTGCCTTCAGAACTGCCTTAATCCTTCATGGCATGGATTCAAAGGTGCTCTACTGGATTGAGATCTGGTGACTGTGGAGGCCCTTTTGAGTACAGTAAAATCATTGTCATGTTCAAGAAACCAGTCTGAGAAAAATATGTATATGTGTGTGTTGGTGTGTGAATATATATATATATATATATATATATATATATATATATATATATATATATATATATATATATATGTATATGTGTGTGTGTGTGTGTGTGTGTGTGTGTGTGTGTGTGTGTGTGTGTGTGTACACACAATAATAAATAATTAATAATAATATTAATGTTTCATAAACCTACAGATGTTTATTATTCATTTTTCTGTTCTCTTACAAGTTTCGAAGTCGACTTTTGTATTGGCTGCCGTGCTGATGAGGTATTTGGTTTAAAAGAACCAGCCATTATCTTTACGAGAAACACATACGTGTCACTGTACGGATATGCAATCTCAGAACACATTCTTTGCCGCCATTGTTTAACCTTTGTGAGTTGATGCCTCCAGCTCTCTGCTGCTGTGTTTCAGTGAGGTCTCACCCTGCTGAGAATCTACTCTTCACTCCTGCATGACTGCAACTGAGTCTGACAGGACAGAGAGCTGTTGCTGTGGAAGCTGTGGAAGTCTGGGTGTAGTCAGATAGAGAGACACATTTGGTCCTCCTATCCAGTATTTCTATTTTTGGAAAATACACTCTTTATGAGGATTTTAACCACAGTTTCAGAATTCTGTTGGATTGGTGAGGATTAGCTCCATTTAACTTGAAAATGTCTAATTTAATGCAAGGTATAATGGTTATCAACACAGTCCAAAATATATAGGCAAAACAAAATCAATACCAGTGACTGCTAATTTGCCATTCATTATATTTGCCCACTGAAGCTAAGCAGGGTTGAGCCTAGTCAGAATATGGATGGCCCTTTGAAAACAACAGTAGGCTGCTGTTGGTAGGTGTTAGTGTGGCCAGCAGTGGGTGCTTACTGTGTGTTTTGTGTGGGTTGTAATGCCTCAGTATGTGATGAGACACAGGCCAACTATTTAGCTAAATTGACATTAGGGCATTGTAAACATTCCTTCAATACCCTGCCTTCTAACCACCTACACCCCCACCACTGCTTATCAATAAAACTAATAAAATGAGTACACAACAAGGAAGGACAAAACAAACACACCAAAATGTTAAACCTACACAAAAGCATACAAGGAAGCTAAATGGCTTACTCCACCTTACCATTGTAAGCCTTATGTTGCATAAAAAACCCTGTTTTGTGATGACACAAGACAACATACCAGAATAATAAGCTATGAGTTCATGTCCTTTTCCTCGCTCCACTGTCTCTGAGCAACCACCATCTTGTTTGAATTTTTATGACAGCTCCAAGATGATCATGTGATTTGCTGCTAGCATTCTGATTGGAGGTTCTCAAAGAATTGGTAATCTACCAGATCCAGATACAGTTTTGTTGCATATTCTCTATGGGAAAGTAGGCAAGCAACATCGCTTTGCAACATTACCATGACCTCAAGAGGCACAATTTTTAGGATGAGATGCTAAAATCAAGTTCATAACTTTCTGGAAAGAGGGTATCACTTTATTTTGCTGGTCCCTTTAATGCATTTTGTTGAATTTAAAGGGCACCTATTGTAAAATATCTTCTTTTCAAGCTGTTTGGACAGATCTGTGTGTTGGTATAGTGTATAGACCATCATACTGGGGTGATATGAACACACCCAGTCCTTTTTTTTCAATTTCACTACAAAAAAAAGGGTCGGCCAATTGGAGCTGTTTTGAAATCGATCGCACCATTACGTAGGTGTGCGATTCCCCCCGCCCACCGAATTGATTGACAGCTGCGCGTATTAACATATCCTGAGTTTGCCGTTTCCGCCATTATCAGCGTGAACGTCGAAGCGATGCCACCGAGAGAACACCCTTGTGCTATTTTAGGATGTAAGGCTCAGCACAAGAGCCTTCACCGTCTTCCTGCAAATGAGCAACAGAGGCTTAAGTGGCTGAGTTTTATCTTTGAAGACAAGGTGCCTGAAAATGTACCAAAACTGTTGTATGTTTGCGCTAACCACTTTAGCGTAGACTGCCTCGAGAACGCGGGACAATACAACTCCGGATTCGCGAGTAAATTGTTTTTGAAAACTGGATCAGTTCCTACAATACGTGATCCTGCCTCACTTCAAGTAAGTATTACATTTTATGTACTTCTAGCCTTAGCATTCTAATTATGATAAGCCTATGAATAGCATCTGCGGCTAAAGTAGCTTCGGATGTTTGTTTGCAAGTGTTTACCTCTTATTGTGCTTTTCAAAAACAGTCTAAATACTCGAAGCTGCAAATGGTAGTGTGTACATGAAGGGGGTTTAGCCATTAGAAACAGAAACCGTAGAAAAATAGCAACATTGTAAAAAGCAGTACCACTGGCTAACGTTACAGCTAAAGTTTGTTGTTGTTAAATGTTTGTTGTACTGTAATGGTAAGCCGAAATGAATAGCATCTAAAAGTTAAAAGCAGCCAAAGTTGCTTCGGATGTTTGTTTGCATGTGTTCACTGCTATTATGCTTTTCTAAAACAATCTAAATAATCGAAGCTATAAGTGGTAGTGTGTACAAGAAGGGCTTTTAGCCATTAGAAACAGAAACCGTAGAAAAATATAAACATTGTAATAAAGCAGTAACCAGTACTGGCTACAGCTAAAGTTTGTTGTTTATGTGGGATGTTTGTTGTAATGTGTATACTGTAATGTTAAGCAGAAATGAATAGCATCTGCGGCTAAAGCTACTTCGGATGTTTGCGCGTTTACAGCTATTGTGCTTTTCTAAAACAGTCTAAATACTCGAAGCTTTAATTGTTAATGTGTCCATAAAGGGGTTTTAGCCATCAGAAACAGAAACGGTAGAAAAAATTAAACATTGTAATAAAGCATTACCACTGACTAAGTTACAGCTAAAGTTTGTTTTGTATGTGGGATGTTTGTTGAAATTTTTTCACTGTACTTGCACGTGGTCTGCAGTTGTTTACAATAAGATCGGTATGTTTTAATCAAATAAAGGTCATTTTAAAAAAATTATGTTTTCTTACAAAGGCCACGACGTCGACAATGAGCAACAAGGTGGATGTTTGTTGCCAGACAGAACCATTTCACACATCTTTACACAGTGTTGGTACCCAGTTGTCTTTTAGGACGCTTCAGGCTAAACGCAGGAGTACAAGTAAGTTAAAATTTCTCAGTTTATTTTAAGTTGCTGCATTAGAAACGTGTTTTATTATCTTCATAAACGTGCAATGAGATTAATCATAAAATTACACTATAGGTGTCCAGACAACAGTATCCAGTTTTGAACTGACTGTACCATCAGCATCCTCTACTGCGTTTATGACTTCGACACCCCTCAAACCTTCACTAAAAAGACCTCGTCTGGAGCTGGAGGAGGAGAAGGAGGAGGAGGAAGAAGCCGAAGAGACTTTGACAGAGTCAAAAATTATAGCCCAAGACTCGGATGTGAGATTTGACCCTGCAGAGGAATGCACATCTGCAACTGAACCAACAGACTTGTCGTGAGTTTATGCATTATGTAAATTATTTGAAAGATTGTGTATTGTCATCATAACATTCATCATCATTTTTTTTTTTATTATGTACATGTGTATATTTATTTTTACAGAATCCAAGAATGCCCAGTTCATAACATTGCCAAGTTCATTGTCTATGAAACATGCCTCATGGAGCTCTTCAGTGACTGCCCAGTGTGTCAAAGGAGATGTGATGTAAAGTCACAAAGGCTTGGGACATTTCTGAGCGTACAGCAAGTCTGCCCACACTGCGAGTTTGTAAGAAAATGGAACAGTCAGCCAATTATTGGTAGTACTCCAGCTAGCAACCTGCATCTTTCTGCTGCAGTCTACTTGAGTGGTGCATAATTTTTTGTAGTTGAAAAGGTAATTATCTATCAAAATTTATCACATTTCTTTTAGAAACATAATATAAATTTTGTCACAGGGTGCATGCACATTGTACTAAAAATTCTCCTCTCTGTTGTCAGGTATTTGCTGCCATGAAACTACACATTTTTAAATATGATTCATTTCGTTGTCATGCAAGACTTTGCATTGAACCTGCTATTGTCCACAAGTGGAGAAATTGGCAGAGTGAAATGCTAGAACAGCTCAGTCGAAGAGAGAATGTGATTGTTGGAGGAGATAAGAGGGCTGACTCCCCAGGTATTTAGTCAAAAGATTTCATTTCTAATTCAATACAGTCTAATAAAAAAAATAAATATGAAATACATTACAATTATTCCAAAAATGTGTTTGAAATAATTATGTACGGTTTGTTCTTGAAGGTCACTCGGCCAAGTATGGGAGTTATACAATGATGGACCTTGCAACTAACACAGTGGTCGACCTAAAGTTAGTCCAGGTAATACAGAAAAGTGTTATGTGAACTAGCATAATTTTTTGGATGGAAAATGTGTGATTTTTTTTTATATATATTTTTTTTCCTTATTTAAAATTTTATAGAGTAATGAGGTGGGCGGCAGTTACCATATGGAAAAAGAAGGCCTAAAGAGAAGCCTAGACCTGTTGGATGCCCGCGGTGTTCGTCTGGAATGCATCATCACAGACCGACATCCTCAAATACAGAAATATCTCAGGGATCGAAATGTCACTCAGTTTTTCGATGTGTGGCATATCGAGAAAGGTATGTAATGTAGCAGTTATTAATTTACTTAAGATTAAATTGCTATTTACAGTTCTTACATGTTTATTATTATTTTTGTGTTGATGTCTTTTTTTTTCTTTAATTTCCAGGAATTTCCAAAAAACTGGACAAGATATGCCAGATAAAGGGGTGTGAGAAGTTGCGTAAATGGTTGCGTAGCATCAAAAACCACATCTACTGGACTGCTGCATCATCCACAACAGGTCCTGAAAGAGTGGCAAAGTGGACCTCTATCTTAAACCATGTACATGAAGACCCCAATTTTCCGGCTTATCTGCATCCGCAACGGATAAGCAGAGACAAGAACAAATGGCTGTCGGCTGGTAAGTTGTATACAGACAAATAAAATATTCTTTGCGATTAAAACTAATGCAAAACAGAGCTTGTTTCTTTGTTCAGATTTGTTTTTGATTCAGACTCTAATACCTTACATTTTTGCTTGTTTAGCAACGATGCCATTCTACAAGCTGGAGAAAGTTCTCGCTAACAAGAGAATATTGAAGGATGTGGCCAAGCTAAGTCCTCACCACCAGACGTCAACTGTTGAAGCTTTCCACAGCGTCCTACTGCGGTTTGCACCCAAAAATGTGGTATTCCCATTTCTGGGGATGCTATGCAGGTAAAGCCAATGATCAGAAATTAATATTTACAATACCATACAGTCTTGTCATGGTACGTCATTTACATTTTTCTTTTTGTTAGGTTGTACTTGGCTGCACTGCATTACAATGAAAATGCCGGGCGTCCCCAGGCCACATCAGCAACTGGTAAACCTATTTACAAGCTTGCCTTTCCAAAGGCAAAGAAAGGAGAGTATAGGGTCCGAAAAGTGAAGACGCAGCAAACTTTCGGTATGTATATAAATGTTTATAGTATTTTTAATAATTCAATAAATAAAAAAAATAATTGCACTTTACATTCACAATGACAACTCACTACTCAAAATACAAAATTAAGTTACTAAAGAGATAACTGTTATATTGCACAGGTTATGTAAAAGAGCTGCTGGACCTCATCTTCAACCAAGTGTTTGTGGACCCATCACCCTATGTTGATGAAGTGTTGGGAATTCACATACCACCTGCTCTATCATCAGCCTGCGATCTACCTGAGATGGAGGAGGCTATCTCCAGCAGGGTGACCCGCTTCAATCAATAGCTATCCTAAAACCCACATAGCTGCCCTGCTCTTCAGGAAACTGTCTCCGAATCTTCAGCACCACACAGGCAGGAATCACAACACGGACTCTCCGCCCGAGGAAACCCCAACACCAGCTCGCAAAGCTCCGATAAGCCAAAAAGCGGCACTGTCTAACAGAGACATAATAATGAAACATTGTTTTAGAAATTGCACTACAATTTGAACTTGGGAGTTATCACATATACATTTTTATTTTTGATAAAATAACTAGCTTTAACAACATTTCAGAAGTAATATTTTGTTTATTCAACTGCCAATGTTTGATATGTTTATGTGTTTGTAGATATACTGTACTTTCTAATGTTCATGGACAATTGTATTTCATTCAACAAAGTGACAACTTGAAGTTTATATTTTATATTTGCACAAGGATACATTTTATATTTGCCAATCACATTTTAATTTATACTTCAATATAAAGTTTTTATATGACTGAGGAATTGAAGCATCTTTTCTGAAGTGTTGATGTTTCTATGCCATACTGATTTTTATATATTTTAAGAGTTTATATATTAATGTTTAGTGAAATTAAAATTATTTTTCAATAAAAAGTACATGCATTACTCAGCCTTTTATGAAGTCATTCAAATTGTCATCTCAGAAATAGCAGCAACAAAAAAGGTACGTATTTCATTTTTATTGACATTGAGGTAAAGTTGGTTTTTATATTCAGATATTCGGACATTCTCCTTAATAGTATCATTTCTGTAAAGTATTCTTTGCAAATTCAAAATAGGGAAATCGTATTAGCAGCAAATGACAAAGTACAACATTGTTTACAGTCAAGTAGATAGTGTTAATGTTGTTTACAAGTCATACTTGCATGCTAAATCCGATCGATTGTTTAAACTACCATGGTAAACAATACAGGGACTCCTGAATGTGCGGATATAAAACCAACTTTATCGCTATTTTATTGACTACACAGCGTTAATGTGCTTAAAAAGAAAGCGAGCATGCAAATCATGAACAAGGTAACCTGCTATTCTTTCTATTTATTTAAACTCACTTTTGCACTCCACGAAGTCGCAGGGGACCATAGTCTGCTTTGTATATATTCGATGCATTTTGCAAGGAATAAATATTGAAGCAAACGGGATCCATTCCTGGATGCTCCGTCATGCACGAGGGTTGCAATTCCAGTTGATCCATTCGTCTTCTAACCTTATTACACGACACAGTTATGCTGTTTATTATCTCATTCGATGTCTTTAGAGCAGCAACGTAAACTGGAAATTTACCTGCGGTATCTCCCAGCAGCATACATTTTCAGCCTCAGTTGGCATTTTTTCACAATTGCCACACGAGCACCTGCCAATATTTGTCAACGTCAATATTCATGAATTACGAATAAATCATACCAATGCAAAATTTATCTTTGTAGATATCTTTATGTATTGTCTGTTTGACGTAACGCATGACGTTCGCGAACTTTATCAAACAAATTACGGATGGCGCATGCATAGTTACATAGCGGCTGAAAAAGTATACAACGACATAAAATATTTTGTATGTACCACTCTGACACATTCTGGCACATTCGGATTATAGATTCCTCAACAGTCGACTCTGCTTGATCTGTGTCCGAGTCTGTGTCAAATATGTAGGGTTGAATTGTGTTCCTCTCACTCATGATGACTCTTACTGTCTGCCTCTGTGACGCGGTGCACAAAGCAGACGCGCTCTTGGCTCCGCCCCCTTGTTACGTTGGGCGGGCAGTCAAAACTCATTATCATGTTAAACAACACACCCCAAAACAGCAACCCGTGTACACGCCTCTAAATTTACACTTTTTAACACAGCATAATAACAATATCTGAATTGCGTTTTGATCTGAACCTACATTGGCACACTCAGAAGAACCATAATATTACTATTAAATCTCAAAAAAGGGCTAAAATATGTGCCCTTTAAGTTACTTTGCATCTACATGCCAAATAATTCTTAATAGAGTATAAGTAGACTGTTAGAGTTGGGTTTAGGGTTAGTGTAATAATCAGTTAAATGTGTGTTGAAGGAGAAGTATCAGCAGATATTAAGGCCCCTTCCCAATTCTACCCCTTAGCTCATACCCTTACCCCTACCCCTCATTTTGAGCGTTCACGTGAAGGGGTGAGGGTGTGGCAATTCTCTTTCGTTTGAAGGCATAGGGCTAATGGGAAGGGTTAGAGAAAAAAAAAACTGTAAATTCCATAATAATCCATAATAATAATTCCTGTAGTCCCACAACTAACTTTCACATCTGAAACGCGAATACCTCAGAAAAGTTTGATGACCATTGTACAGTGTCTGGTATAATGTTAATGTTGTTTTTGGTGTGTTTACATAGATGAATATGGCCACTGTGTAAATGCACAGTACAGTTAGGATCTTATATTCATTAGATTGTTATGATAATATGATATTGTTGCCTTCAGTGATTTTCTGAAGATAATCACAAAAAAAAAAACCCAAACTGGAATAACTACAGCAGTTGCGATTGTTGATCTCATATGAAGAAAGAGATTGTGATGACAGAGTATGATGACATGTGCAGGTGTTGTAATGCTGTCCAATTTCTTAGGAGTAAATTTTGAAGGCCTTCCCCTTCACACTGTTTCAAGGGCCAAGGGGAAGGGGCAGGGGTACAAACATAGAATTGGGATTGGGCCTAAGCAGACAGTCTACTAATACTCAAATGAGAATTAATTGGCGTGTAGTTTCAATGCAACTTTTAGTGAACAAAATGTACAATAGGGACCATCAAAATATTGCTACCTAAAAGAGTATGGTGGTTTAGGCCCTTTAACAAAACCAAAGAACAAACTGATATTATGTAGAAGAAAATCATGCTGAATGAATTTTGTTGAGCTTTGAGATAATCAAAGCTTTTTGAAGCTTACCGTTGAGCCACCATTGGTCAGTGGAAATAATGCAATCAGTGGTGTTGTCTGGAACTCCGCCTTCTTTGATATGAGATTTTTTTCTCATCTCTCTCCAAGGAGTTGGCCTTGCACATTACAGTGGCCAATATTGAATGCTTCAGCCAAACGTTGCATGGTTCGAAAGGCTAGTGCTCGGAATGTCAAGGCAAGTCTCTATGTGTGTAGCGTAACTATGTGTTGTTTGCTATTTTGCATGTTTCACATAGTAATACCCTCTTCAGGAGATTCTCAAAGTGTGCAGTGAACATTCAGAAGTGTGAACAATGCACTTTATCATCTGTGCTCCGAAATTGCTGAATAAAATGGGCAAACTTGGCATCAAGCTTTCTGTTTACGTTAAGTGAATGCACATGCCACCTACTTTGCTTGTTCTTGATGTTTGCCATTGAATAGATCAGGGGTGTCCAAACTCGGTCCTAGAGGGCCGTTGTCCTACAGAGTTTAGCTCCAACTTGCCTCAACACAGGCAACAAAGTGGCGCAGTAAGTAGCATGATCGCCTCACAGCAAGTAGGTCGCTGGTTCGAGCATCGGCTGGGTCAGTTTACATTGCTGTCTGGAGTTTGCATGTCCTTTCCATGTTCGCGTGGGTTTCCTCCGGGTGCTCCTTTTTTCCTCACAAATCCAAAGACGTGGGTATTAGGTAAGCTAAATTGGCCTTAGTATATGTGTGTGATTCAGTGTGTATGGGTGTTTCACAGTGATGGTTTGCAGCTGGAAGGGCATCTGCTGCGTAAAAAATATGCTGGATAAGTTGGTGCTTCATTCCTCTGTAGTAACCCCAGATTAATAAAGGCACTATGCCGAAAAGTAAATAAATGAACAAATAAATTGCCTCAACACACCTTTATGGATGTTTCTAGAAAGCCTACTAAGCAGGCCCGTGCAGAGACCGTCCAAAGGGCATGTGCAGGATATATTTTTGAAGAGTGGGGTGGGGGGGTTGAGCGCGCGTACTCAAGATCAGTGTTGTCATGCGCCTACTGAAGGGCGGGACGGAGGGTGTGTTGCGTCGCGGGGGCACTTTTGATCATTTTGGAAGGGCACTTTCGATCCAAGACTGATAAGGGCATGTGCTCTGCACAGGTTGAGCCCTATGTGTGCACGTGCCTGCTACTAAGAGCTTGATCAGCTAGTTCAGGTGTGTCTGATTGGGGTTGGAACTAAACTTTGCTGGACAACGGCCCCCCAGGACCAAGTTTGAACACCCCTGGAATAGATCAATGCTCCTGCCAGATGTGTACAAAATGCTTTATGAAACCGAAAGTTATGAAACTCTCATAGCCGCCACAGTTGTTTCATGTAAGGCTTATTCTTACAATAATCTACACTAAATCAGTAAATCATTGCTCAGACTTTTCAAAATTATTTTTGACAACATACAAAAGAAAAAGAGCTTTGCTTGAAGCATATCAAGGCCTTAACCCTGGTGTCCTTTCCAAGTTCTCTCCATCAGCCCTTACCTATCAACTCTCCAAATAATCTCCATCCACCTATCTGGTGTGTGGTGAGGACACTGGCACTGTAAGTACCTTCTTGCTAAATGATATAAAACACATGTCCTCCATCTCTGCCATTTACAACAGCAGCAGCAGCAGCAGCTCACGTGAGTTTGCACCCATGCATACTTCATTATATGCGACAGGAAATTCGCATTCCAGCCAGTCATGAATACTCTCAGGACCGTTTGCCCGAGGCTGTGGATCAATTTTAATAACGTTGTAAATAATGTTCAGTTTCTAGCGCAGACCAATCATTTTGCTTCAAAAGATTTCAATGTATCTTCAGGAGGCATGGTATTAGTTTAGTTTTCTGTGCATTAGTTTTTGTTACTCTCAAAGCGCCGCTCACTTGCATTCGATCATGGGCACAACAGCTGGGTAGCTAAGAAGAGGTCCATTGTTTCAGAGATTTAGCGTTTTTGGTTGGTTTTTAACTTCTCGTGATCCTGGTAAGTGTGATCACACTCCTTCTGTTTTCAAGTCCACTTGCAATCATTCAGTGGCAACATTGTAAACACTTGTGTTCTCGCTTTTTTCTTTCATCGCTGCCTGCTTATTGTCAGTAAAGAGCAACACAACTAGCCTCTCACTCTCTTCAGCAGCATGACAAGCTAAAGGAGTTCTTTGTAAACACAATTAAGCTGTGAAATCATGTTTAATTACTTTCCTGCTGTCTCCAGTTCTTTAAGGATTCTCTCTCAAACGACAGCTTAAAATACAGGCACCTGCCGGGCTGCTCATTTCCCCACACCTGGTCCTGCAGAAATGTCAACACAACAGCAGCATTCGGGGTCGCGGTCTGGTATCTTGCTGTACCTGGAACAGCACCGGTCCACTTAACATCATGCACTCTGAAAGCTCAGTAAATTAAAGATCATAAATCATGCACTATTCATAAGAGTCTCCATCCGGCAACCCTCCACCTCCCCCTCTAATGGCATTGAGCATTCGCAGGCCTCCGAAGCGCTCCGTCCCATCCTGTCCTTTTGAC